GTGCCCTTTGAGACTGGGGGACACTTAAAAGTGAGTTTCGGAATTTAATATGACATGTTTGTTTGATTTAAAATGAGAAAACAGTGCATTCAAACGCCAGTAACTTCATTTAGAAGCAGAAGCAGCCTCATAGCGTCAAAGGTGGGGGTGAGGGTGGAGGCCGCTAAGACCACGCCCCATACTCATAAAGGCTGAGGCCCCCCTTTTTTAATTCATATTGATTTTGGTACAACACTTCGTATGGTTTAGCAATGGGGAGTTGAGCGCTACGGCAGAATTCAGCGTGGACAAAAGCCGACCGGTGTCGTTACTCATTCTGTTTCGTGTGTCGCGTTTAAAGTCCATTGAACAACAACGGTGTCATGCCACCCATATTAGTTTTTGTATTCCCTCCCCCCTCCGCCCCCCTCCCCCTTCTCAAGCAAGGCCACACTACAGGGCTGAGTGGAAGTGCCATGGGCATTCGGCAACAATAGAGATTCGCCTGAATTGCGTCGGTGATGCAGACAGCTTCTGGTCGGAGCCTGGAGCCGGAGGAAAGCGAAAGGGAAGCAATACAGGGGTGGGGAGGGCCCAACTTATCTTCAAATGGGTCTCAGCATGCGTATTGGCACCCATATTACTACAATAACATTTATTCATGTTTTATTATGTTTTTTTTCTACCTGTGCAGGCTTAGCTCGGGGTCGCTTCAGAAGTGTGGAAGAGGGACGGAGGTGAAAGGTGGCCAGATTTAATGATATTTGCCTTTTTAGCCGATGGACTGTGGATAGTGTCTGTTTTCGGGAGGCAGAGGTGATCACACTGCTAAACCTTTGTGCATGGCAAAGCCTGCAGAACCAAGGCCTCGGTTCGCACACTTTTCAGGGACGAAAAGTCACACTTTGTTTAATTTTGTGTGCCAACATAACACTACTACCGTGATCGCACACGAAAATTAGAAAAAGAATCGGATGTAGCAAGAATTTCCACAACCGTACAATCGTATATATATATATTTTTAATCTGACATAAAAAAAGTATTTAAGGGTGGATATCATGCAGTGCTTTGGGTGGCAAACACATTTTCCAATACAACCGGATCTTTGGGCCCGCACCGAAACTTTACACACGTGCGATGCTGAAACCTAAACGGCAGTGAGGGGCGGTGAATTAAAAGTTGAAAAATTTTCTATACTTATTTTGAGTTGCAGTTGTGGGGAATTTTTTTTGGTGTGTTCAAAAACATTTGCTCGTGCCTACGCTGAGTCAGAGTCTGCAACTCGATCAAGAGGCAGCGTGAATAATTCAAGGGCTTACATGTCTCACGACTTTGCAAGATTCATGACAGGGGCCTTGGTATTTTGAACTGAAATACACCCAATTGTTCAAACTTTAATATCCACCTCGCTATTCCTGGGAGATAATTACAGTATCTGGCCCGATGTTAAATGTTACGGAGAATTCACGACGCACTTTCGCGATGAATTTCGCCCTGGGTACGGGGTGGGTCAACGCGCCCAGCTGTATCACACACGTCTCATTTAATTCCCACAGTATTAGTGTGCCGTCACAAGCCTGTCATTAACTTAATGACTAGGCTCGGGCCCACGTGTCTTTGAACTCGTTGCCTTTCTCCTACTTTCGTTTACTTCACTGAAAGAGACTGCATTCTGCCAGTGTCTCAAGCGCTACCTGGAATGACACCATTGATACCTTGCAGCCAGTCATCGGTCCACCGCACCTCCAATGAGCATGGCTGACTACGTACGGTGCGAAAGAAGTTCAACGTACACACGTGCAGGATGGGTGAAGGCCTCCCCCCCCCCACGCACTGTGTCGGCTTTGGTGCTTGTTAGACTCATACTTCACTGCGTTGGTTTGTACAAATTCTGGCGTAATGTGAGATACGTATAGCGGCAGCCATGTTTAATTCGATACTGCACTACGGCGAGTGACTTGTATCGGATGCCTTCGAAGGATACAGATGTTAGAAGCAAACCTCTTGGGCCTTGTGTATAAATTCGCACATTAACTTAATAGTCACAGTTTAACACGTAGGCATTCGCGACCAATATCCATAATCCAGGTTTTTTGGGTTAGATCGTGTAAATATATGTGTTGTTAAACCCGCCACCACCCAAAACAGCCAACAAGTAAGGTTTGTCAAAGCTGGCTGTTGCCTGATGAAGCTGGTTGTAATTACTGGCGAAATGTTGTACTCAGATTGTAAATGTTGTGGATTTGCTCTCCAACACACCGGTGTGCTGCTGTACTAGTGACGAATTGGCACGTTCTGTTTACGTGACAACCTTTACTAGTTGGCTGTGTTGGGTGGTGGCGGGTTTAATTGCACATTGATATATTCACGCATTCTAACCCAAAAAAACCTGTATTATGGTTCATATTCGCAGCCTGCACGATGCATTCTAAATGTTTATTTAGTCCTTAAATTCCGGTGTTTCACGATAGAACGGAGCAGACATGCGGGACGATCCACGTCGTGTATGGTCCCACGGGCACCACGGCCGGATTTGGAGTTTGTTATTTTCAAGGTCCCGCCTCCTCCCGGTTTTACCCATTTGTTGTTAAACTGAAGGCAGTGCGAATCGAAAGACCGTTGCTCAATATTTACCGGAGTTGAACAATGCGTTTACGGTGCGATAGACTGAGTTGCAGCGGCGGGTCGTAGACGCAGAGATGAATAGGAACTCGAGCGAGCTGTTCGCATCGACAGATTGGAGTGTGATTTTGAGCTGTTGACTTTTACACCAGGAGGGACAATTTGAGATGGCGTGACCCCGGGAAAAAAAACTGAAACGTCACTTTTTGCACGAGCACATTTGTAGTGGCACCCTAATGCTCGGCTCTCTCTACATCCATCGTTATTGCTTGATGATCTTTTTGGTTGACGCATCTGACAGCTGTAAAATGTTCATTTATTTGGTTGATATAATTTTCATTTGTCTAGTAAACAAAAAATGCTCGCATGCACACTCAATCACTGTGGCTTAAATCGTTTGGGTTCATATTTGTCATGCCTTCATTTTTACGTTTGCTAGCAATGCCAGTGCGTCACCTTACCTCGCACATATTTTACCTCGCAATGCGAGTGGTTGCCTTCAAGGCTCCTAAATACAATTACATCAATGCAAGTTCAACATACATTCACTAGCTTTTTTGCCCGTCCAAGGACGAGTGTATATTGCAGTAAATCTGAAATATTCAACAGAAAAATTGTTCAGCTCATGATTATTAATGAGGGATGAAGGGGGGAGTGGGGGGGTTGCCCCATGTGGAGTGACGTACCCCTTCATGGTTATTGTGGAGGGGTGCGGCATGTGGAGTGACGTCAGCACCCTCATGGTTATTGTGGAGGGTTGCGGCATGTGGAGTGACGTCAGCCACTCATGATTATTAATGAGGGGAGGGGTTTCGCATGTGGAGTGCGCGACCTTGTGCGTTCTTGTAAAAATCCACCCTACTCATGAATATTAATGAGGGGGGTGGGCCTCACGTGGAGTGACGTCACGCGTGGGACGGACAGACATTTCTGGGTGATTCTAGTAGGTAATACATACGACAACTACACCCACCCACTGCAGTTCATCACAACTGTTAGCTCCTCTCCACACTCCGAGGTAAAGGGGCGGCCCCTGCAATTGCTTGCTCATGCCACTGTTGGCAGAAAGAGCGTCCGCTAGGGTCAACTCTAGCCCAGTGTTCTTCATTGCAAGGCCCCGCGGGCCACCGGCGGGCCACTGGTGGGCCCCCCTTGTGGCCTTTGCGGCCCCTGACGTGCGGCCCACCGACAGTACACAAAGAGTGACAAAACCCCCCATCATCATCATCCTCGTGCTGCTGTCAAACCGCACAATGGTTTCACACGTGTGGCGGCTCTCGCACACTGATGATGTCTTATCGGCGAAAGTGGCCCCCCCTCCCCCCCCTGAAAACTAGTGTCGAACGCTGCTCCAGAGGGGGCGTTTGGTCCAATCTTCCAGGTTAACCAGGCGTGTTGGAAGAGGGTGGGCTTACCCACACTTGACCCCACCACACGTGTCCCACCGATTGACCGACTGTGGCACGTACCCATTTATTCTGCTTTGTGTGACAGGCACCTATGTTTGCAATGCCCGACGAGCGAGCGTGCGATCGACGTGGCCCGCATGCTGCACACCAACTCTCTCGCAGCTCGCTGGTCTTGTGGTTGCAGCCGGTTGAATACACCCCCACCCCGTTTGCCTTTTTTTTTTTTACACAATCATCACGAACATCATTGTGGAGAAAAGGAATAACAACATAAGTCACGCGGGCTTATATGTCTCCTTCACATGCCTGTCCCTCCGCGTAAAAAAAAACAAGTGAAAAAAAAAGTGAAAAATAACAAGTAAAAAAAAAATCCAAGATTTTTTTTTTTACACCCCATCAGCTGCAAGGCCGTCTGGGAGTGCATAATTTCAGCAGCACTGATTTAAACTGAGCAATTAAACCACCAAAATGTATTTTATTGAACTGCTGACACGACTGCTGAAATTACGCATGCCAAGAGGGCCTTTGGGGCTGATAGGACGTGTGCAGTAAAAAACAACAAGAACAACAATATATTTCACGCGGAGGCACGGATATACGACGGGGACGTATCATCTGTCGAATTATTTAGCCTTCTTATTCAACTCGAGCAAGACGAGCGAGTTGCGCGTGCGACGCATTCTGCAACCGGGACTCGGGGCCGCTGTTGGATAACCGCAGCGACGTCGATCGATACTTGGGAAGCCACGCGGGGAAAGCAGACCGTCCCGCTCCGTCGAGCAAGACCTCAACCCCCCCACCCCCTCCTCGTGTCATAGCGGAGTGCCAGATGCGTGCACGCTCATTGACACTGGGGTCATCACCGCACGAAAGCCACTCAATGTTTCACTTAGCGCCTGCGTGGCTGCGCAGTCGGCCGCAGCTTTGCTTTGCCGCCCCCCCCCCCCCCCCCCGTTCCCGCTGTCTCTCATCTCTTGCTTCATTTGCAGATCATCGGCGTGCTGAGCAGTGAATACATCCCTGAGGGAACGCGCTTCGGTCCTCTCGTGGGGGACATCTACACCGAGGATGCAGTCCCGAAGGAGGCAAACCGGCAGTATTTCTGGAGGGTGAGTCGGCAGTTGACGCAATGACCATAGATATGCGGCAGGTCTGTCTGCCTACCTGTCTGTCTGGCGAGATGTTAACTACCGCGCCTGGTACGCAGGAGTGCGTGGGTTCGATCCCGCCCCTGATGCCTGCTGTATATTTGGATTTGCGTGTTTTTTTTCTCTCCCCACGGTCGCTTCGATTTTGGAATCAGTGTTGCGACACAGAGTATTTGGCTTTCTATCAATTTTCCACAGGGCGATAAGCCGCTTTGTTGGGCTATCATTTGTGGCCAGGTCGCTTCTGAAAAAGGGCTACACAACTCAGTGGGCCTTACCTGGTAAAATAAAAATCGTTTAAATAGTTTTGCAGTTAGCCTTCTTGCCTACCTGTCTATCTATCTATCTATGCATCATCGTAACAACGCGTCAGGGTAGCTGTTTAATTTGTGCCATCCGCATGCTCGTCGTACAGCCAGGGAAGAAAACCAGACTTCCCTCCCTGTGCATTTGACGATTGCGTTTGCGCCATACGCTCGTTCTGCGGCGGCACTTGGTGCGAGCCGTGCATGCATGTACGTCGACCAATCTTTCGCCGCCGTACGTAGCCAGCCGTGCTAATCGGAGGTGGCTCGGCCGTAACCAGAGATCTGATCGGCGCGACCCGCCGGCGCCGACTCTCCGCCGTGACCTCCGATGACCACGGTTGGCTACGTACAGCGGAGAGAGAAGTTCATAAGCGTACATGCGTGACGGGGGGGGGGGGGGGGGGGGCAATCGTCATAAGTCGGCCCCTTGAGCTATCTGCACGGCGATCGTGTCCGCCTCTGAGAATTATCATGTGACCGACAAGTTGGACCCCATGTTGCTCGATTGGCCGTCTCACTGATGGAAACCGGGACATGGACCCTGTTAGGTGGGGGGGGGGGGGTGGTTACATAACGCAACGATAAATCCCGTATCTGTTTGCGGAATGTTATCGGCACAACTTGCATTTGTTTCGTACACACTCTTGCTCGGCACGCGCCTAACTTTGTAGCCGTTCTATCTACAACCTCCCTCCTCTGAGGCATGCCAGTGAGATAAGCATTACAGCTTCGCTCCTTTATCCACTATACAGATGATTCGACAATTCAAGGAGTTACAATAAAAACCCAACCGAGATTAGAATACTTCCGCACGGTGTTTGCTTCACGTAAGTTCCGCCAGCATGCAGAGCGCTCAAAGCCCCTTCGCCGTGCTGGGGTTAGGGCCACTGAACAAAGAATGGTGGGCCCCACCTCCCTCGACTGGGAGAGACGTCGACACGGAGCATTCCATTGTTGTCGTGGGTGACAAATGACATGACAGCGGAGAGCTTGGAGAGGCGGTGCTTGACCTTGAGCCCACACGTGCCACTTGCGCGTCGTCGTCATCATCACAATCGTAATCGTCATCATCACTCTCATCGTCATCATCACTCTCATCGTCATCATCACTCTCATCGTCATCATCACTCTCATCGTCATCATCACTCTCATCGTCGTCATCACAATTCAGGGCCCGGCGATCTATTCATATTCTCCATCTCTTCTCGTCTCTTCGCCAATCCGAGTGAAGCTCCAACCACCTCCGTGTGTGTTGTCCAGGCACCTCGCTTCCCTGTCTCCCATGCGATCTCTTGCCCACAATTCTCAATTCCCTACCCCGTAAATGAAACACGTTTTTCAAGCCCTCTTGGCCCACACATATTTGCCTTGCTTATCGCCATAACCTTTATAAGTCATGACACTGGTGCGTTTACTAACGTTTGTTTGCATTGTCGATTATATGTTTGCTATTAAAACTATGAACTAAACTAGTTTTATTTTAAAAGGTAAGGCCCACTGAGCTATGTAGCTCTTTTTCAGAAGCGACCTGGCCACAAATGATAGCTCAACGAAGTGGCTTATCAAAGTGGAATTGTATAGCAGCCAACCACTCTGAACGCGTGATGTTGTTTCTAAATGTGGAGGGAAAAACCGGAGGACACGCACAAAAATCCACGTGACCACGGGGAGAACACGCAAACTTGAAATACACAGGCATCAGTGTCGGGATTGAACCCACCACCTCCTGTATACAATGCGAGGTCGTTAATTTTCTCTTCACGAGCATCTCAAGAACGTATCTCTCGCGACTAGCGAGGGAATGCTGTACCACGTCACCATATCGCATCTGCAGTGTACTGACTGAAATTAATACGAGGCCATACATTATTCATAATCTCAAAATTCAGTGGGGGGAGGCAGGGCATATTTGTGGGGGGTGGGGTGGACCCTGCTCAGGGAATTGCTCCGTTGCCTCTGGTGTTGAACTACTGCTGCTGCTAAAATATAGGAGTGGTGTTCATGAGTAATAGCTCATTGGAAAGGTCTATAATATTTCTATTATTAATATTAAAGAGACCGGTTTGTCCAGCTTCAAATGAACGATGAGGGCTAAAGTATGCTCAGGTATGCGTGCCAAAGGTTTTTAAGTTGTTGCTTTTGTTTTTTTGGCACCAATGAATCTCGGCACCGCAGTTAAACGTAAACAATCTGCTTGTCGTTCGTGGCTGCTTCTCCCACGGTTCGTGGCTGAGCAGCAGCAGCAGTAGCAGCAGCAGCAGCAGCGCTGGTATGTGCGTGCCAAGAACACGGCACTGTGGAGAGCAATCGACTTGACAACCTTACCCAAGTTTGTGCATTTTATTTGAATTCCCTTTTAGTGTTGCCTGTCAACTTTACTGTGGGGAAAGTCCCGCATTCACTGCAGCTTACCCACATGCACGCTAACACAAACCTGTAACGCGTGCTCACGCATCTACATATTGCTATCGGCTCGCGCAAGTAACGCATCTAACCAAGCTAAATTCCAGCCATTCTCAAGCCACCGATAGATGAAGGCGGCTTCTGTGACTACGCACGTCGCACTCGTCTGTGTGGGCTGGCGAAGTGAGAAAGGCGAGGACAAGAAAGCGGTTCTCACGTCGCTCGCCACTGATGTTAGCCCGTGGCCTGGGGGTCGAACTGAAGGTGGCCGGGTTCGTGGCGCGCTGCGCTGAGCCACCGTGCGCCACCGCTGAGCTTCATTCAACAAAGTTGCTTCCTGCTTCAGTGACGAATTGTGGGCAGCCCTCGTCTCCCGTGTACATCGCTGAGTGGTGGAAATTCCATATTCCTATGTTTGGAGTTGAGTCTATCCATTATCTAGATTGAAAACTCATTTCTTGAGAGCTGCTTTTTGCGTTTAGTTTGTTGTCCTTCCATTTGCACCTCCGATTATCCAGGGATGGCTACGTGGGGTGCAACCCAAGTTCAACAACACACGTACGTACAACCACTGTTAACTTCCAAGCAAAAGTGGTTTTCAAACCGCAGGCAGGATGTGAACTCGCAACCTTCTGACTTGACGAGCCGTTCGCTCCACCGCCGAGCCATCGAGCCGGTTATATTTCATTACTGTGCATTGCGCACGCATTGAATGTGGAGCGATATCATCAGAACGAGTTATAGTTGCACCCCAAGCAATGTGCACCCCGAGCGCCAAATGCATCCTTTTGCTCTTTTTCACGTTTGAGTTCTTGGGAGGAAGAAAATAAATAGCCGCAACGACCCGTCAGCAGAAGACAGCCTGTGTTTACGTGCACGGTGCAAACTCCACGACTTGACAATGTGAGCCCTCATGGTGTCTCACTCGCTGGGCAGGCGAATTCGTTGTTAAGTGTCTTGCGCAGAGATCTCAAACAACCGCAGGTTCAAGAGCCTCCGATTTGAACAATAAAAAAAAACTCGACACGTTCGACGGTAACGCTGGCAAAAAAAATATTTGTTGGGTGATATTTGGTGAGGAGGTGGTGGGCCGAGGGGGGGGGGGGTGGTGGGACGGGCGGTGGGGGTGGGGGGACGGGGGGCGGGACGGGGGAAGGGACGGTGGGGGGGGGCGATGGCCCTTCTTCATTTGAACAAACGGACATTCACATCATAATGGTCGTACAAAGCGAACGACATTATACTGTGCGAGAGCCGGCTGGCACATGAAGCCCAAGCCATCGCCATCTCACGCGCGTGGTCTTGCGACGCGGCAATCTATCTGGCTCCTGCTAATGAACCGATTTCATTTCTCCGTCTCTCACCCCTGGTGAGCGTCCCCTGGACGTAATTCCCCCGGGAATGCTCCGTCCTTTGGCTGTGGCTCCGTCGCTGGCCCGCACCACCGGCCCGTCATTCCACTTTCAGCAAAGTATCCTCTCCCAGATTGCTTCTTTTTTCTGAACGGTCAACGCGATGTCTCTATAAACCTGAATGCCCCGGGTAGGCGCGTTGCTTTACAAAGAGTAAACAGTTGATGACATGGGAGCGGCCGCACAGCGATTGTGTGGCGAAAGCGGCGCTGGATGGACACTCGTTCACCCAAAGTCATTCTCGACAGCGATAGGCGATCGCCTCATAAAATGTGTTGGTGACATTGTCACGATACCAACCAACCATTGACATTTTGTGGTACATTTTTTGTATTGCTCCAACCACGGGAAGGGGGGTGGGGGTGTACAACTTCCGCGACAGGCGAGTCGTGCATAGCGGGATAGGCGGCTCGGAGAGACAACCAACGCGGACGTGTAGGACCGAAGCGTTATGCGGTACGTGCGTCAGATCCACTTTCTTCGGGGAAGGTAAGGGGGGAAAGAGGGGGGTGCGGGAGTTGGTCTCATTTCAAGTTCAATCAATTCGCGAGGGGGGGCAGCCATTGGAAATGTAACGCCAGCGTACAATCAAGGGCTGGTGGAGACCCGCTCTCAAAGCGTCGCCTCGGTGACTTGCCCTTGCCCCGTCCGGCACGAGCACGTTCGAACCAGCGCAACTGCTACACTTTGCATCGCTACCGCCCTCTTCCCCGTATTCCACATTGCTTCGTCCTATTCGCTCGCCATCAAATTCTTAGCGAACCAACAGTCGGTAGGGACATTTCAAGAATGCGTCGTTCGGCAGGTACACGTCCAACAGTGGGAGTGAGCAGAGCAC